TGTATCTATTATTGTTCAAAAGTTTGTAATGGTCTTTATTATCCATGAATGAGTGAGATCATTTGGTATTTTTCCTTCATTGACTGGCTTATTTCACTTAGCATAATGCTCTCCAGTTCCATCCATGCTGTTGCAAATGGTAAGAGTTCCTTCTTTTTTACAGCAGCATAGTATTCCATCGTGTAGATGTACCACAGTTTTCTAATCCATTCATCTACTGATGGGCACTTAGGCTGTTTCCAGATCTTAGCTATGGTGAATTGTGCTACTATGAACATATGGGTGCACATATCCTTTCTGATTGCTGTTTCTGGTTTCTTGGGATATATTCCTAGAAGTGGGATCACAGGGTCAAATGGGAGTTCCATTTTTAGTTTTTTGAGGAAAAGCTCCTCAGTCTTAAGCTCCCTGGACACCTCAGTCTTAAGCTCCCTGGCAGGAAATGAAGGACAGTCCGTTGTAAATGAGACTTATGACTTCCCCTGGCCTCAGTAGGCCCAATGCCATTGAGCTATGTGCTAATTTGGGACTCTTCCTTCTTCAGGGGATAGGAAGTGGGAGTGGGCAGCCCAGATCAGGCTGGGTAAAGGCTCAATGCACAGGGGCAAGAAAGAAGAAAAGGGGCGGGACAGGAAGGGGGCTACTCAGCTTGCTAGAGAATTTCCTTCCAGACGTCTAGGGCAGTTGGGCCTCCCCACTACTTTCAAAAACTGGGTGGGCCTTGGTAATGCTGGGATGGGTCTGAAGTCACTCCCCTTCCCTTCTCAGGAGCCTTGAGAAAAGACAGAGACTCTCCAAGATCAACCTTCCCCCACCCCCTACTGGGATCAGGCTTCCTATCTCAGCCGACTGGAGGGGAGCTTTTTCCTAATTCAGGAACAGTGGAGAGCAGACTGGCTGTGCTTTAGGTCTGTGGGACTCAAGGTCATCACCCTCACTCCTAAGCCTCTTTGGTCTAAAAGCCTTTCCAATTAACTGTGGTCTCTGATAAGTTCCAAATGCTATCTCCCAATTGTTGGAGCTCCAATTCAGAGCCAGGAAATGCATTTATCCTAATGTCAGTGATAAGCAGAGATGATCAAGAAGATCCCTTCTAAGGTACCTTAGAAGGAGAGAGAGGCATTTTGAGGAAGTGTCTGTGAGATGTAAAGTGGCACTTTTCTGGAAGGCAGTATGAATCCAGAACCTGGAAAACATCAGCTTTTTCATTTCTAGGATTTTATCATAAGTTAAAAGTCAAAGACTCAGCCCTAGCCAGTGTGGCTCAGTTGGTTGGAGTGTCGTCCAGTGCACCAGAAGGTCCAGTGGGTTCGATTGCTGGTCAGGGCATATACCTAGATTGCAAGTTTGATCCCTGGTCCAGGCGTATTCGGGAAGCCACCAATCCATGTATTTCTTTCACATCTATGTTTCTCTTTCTCTCTCCCACTTTAAGATCAATTTTTTAAAAAAAGTTAAAGATTCAGACAGCACTATTTACAATAGCAAAAAATTGGTAATGACTTATAGGCTAACCATGGGAATTTGAGTAAGTAAACAATATTGTAGCCATACCACAGAATATTATCATGTAAACATTAAAAGGTCTTCATATTTTTAATTATATTAAATAGTGTCAACTAAAAAAGGCAGGTTACAAAGCAATATCTTACATAAATGCTATAACTATCCCTCTGTATGTATAGAAAAATAAAATAAAATATACATTTCAATATAAAATTTATTATACATTATATTTTTATTTCTGTTATGGGATTAAGAGCCTAATTTTATTTTCCAAGTTTTTCACTTTGCTATTTTTATCAGGAAATTAAATTTTAAAAAAGAAATCTTAAGAACAGTTGCCCTATCCCAGCCATACTGGAGGACGGTTTTTCTCTTACCCTATACATTTCATGATGAACAGACCTCACCTGGAACCCACAGTCCTTTCGGCACTGTGCTATCCCCCCCCAACATGAAAATCATTCTGCTATCAGTGGGAGGTGGAGAGCTACATTAGAGAAAACACCCTTGCTGTCATACCAATGCCTGAAAATAAAGTTTTGGATTATTCCATCCATGTCTACTCCATTACTGCAGAGAATAAATGCTCAGGGTGCTTGGATACGAGCCCATAAAGTTCTAATGACACCTCTCTCCAACTGGTTTGTTTTGGTGATGGCTGTGGCCTCCATGATGGAGTAAGCATCAAAACCCATGACCAGCCCTGGCTGGTTTGGCACAATGGATAGAGTGTCGGCCTGTGGACTGAAGGGTCCTGGGTTCGATTCTGGTCAGGGGCACATGCCCAGGTTTCACACTCGATCCCCAGTCGGGGTGTGTGGGAGGCAGCCGATCAATGATTCTCTCATTGATGTTTCTCTCTCTTCCTTCCTCTCTGAAATCAATAAAAATATATTAAAAAAGAATAACAGCCCTAACAGGTTTGGCTCAGTGGATAGATCATCAGCCTGCGGACTCAAGGGTCCCAGGTTCGATTCCGGTCAAGGGCATGTACCTTGGTTGCGGGCACGTCCCGTGGGGGGTGTGCAGGAGGCAGCTGATCGATGTTTCTCTCTCATCAATGTTTCTCTCTATCCCTCTCCCTTCCTCTCTGTAAAAAAATCAATAAAATATATTTAAACAAAGAAAAAAGAAAAGAAAAACAACCCATGACCACAGCTATTGGTACTATTTTCAAAAACACAGCATCCATCCTCACTCTCTGATGAGGGATTTGTCCAGTGGCCAGGGCATCAGGATTCCTGGGCTCCAGGCCCCATAGGTGACTCACAGCCAGCCGCAGGCTGTGACTCCTGGCCTCAGTTTCCCTGGCTTGCTTTGTTGATACTCTCTACCTACTGTGCAGGGTATTAATAGGAATGAGGTGCTTTGAACTCTGCAGATGAAAGAGTCTGGGGAAGCAGCACCCAATCATTATCCCCTATAAGGCTAGGCGTGGGAGTGGAGGTTGGCTCCTTTCATATTGTTCCAGCCACGGGAGCCTCCTCAGAGCCCTTCACTCTGCTCTGGCTGTCAAAGCTGGAAAGCAGAGCTGTCATTGCCATCTCAAGGCTACTTCTGAATAGATCTTCCTAAACCGCCCAAACCACCAGTGACCTATCTTCCCCTTGATTTGTGACTCAGTAATACTCTACAGGTGTCTAAATTCTTTCTTCCAACTGGCCTCAAATCCTGTGGGATACAGGCCATAATGTTTCACCATTAGTATCCACAATTAAGAAGTCAGCAAAGTGAACTATGAGAGAGCTAGGCTGACTGAAGTTCAAACTCATCTGTTTCCTTTATGTAAAGTGGGGCTTAGTAATAGTCCCAATCTTGCTTGTATCTCTAGAAGTTGCTGTGTGAACCACATGAGGACCATGTGTATGAAGGCACTTTGTAAAATGTCAAGCCCTTCATGGTGTGTTAACAGGACCAAGTATCTGCAAATAAGATTTCCGGTACAACAGCCATCTGTCCCTCTTGTGCTGCAAGCTACAACTGCAAAACTAGACCTGGGGTGCCACCTATTGGTTTCCAATATAAATTGCACCCAACCAGTTACAAGAAGAGCAAAGAAAGCAATCACCAGTATTTCCAACTTTAAACCACCTTAATTTTTGCCATGCCCCTCATGCCATATTATATACTCAATATTTTTCTTTAAACAATGCATTTTGTATAAATAATTTCATTTTAAAGTAAACTTTTAATCACTACTATAAATGGAAACTAGCTAGCACTTGCCAAAAATAGAATAAAACTGCAAAATGAATAATGAAAATGAAACATTGAGATCTAGCTAAGAAGTATCCCCTGTAAACCTCAAGCTTCAGAATCAGTTAAAACTGGAGATTAACCTAAGTGCATCATTGGAGAGTAAGTGTTAAACCTCCGGTATTATCCTGTTCTTTGGGGAAATACTGCCTTAGATGAAGAAATAGAACTCTTCTGAGGGAAGGTGACATTCACTCATTCTACCCCAGCTCCCTGGAAGGTTGAAGAAAGTTTGAAAGTCACAACATGTAGGAGAAAATAAACTCTTGTATTCACATTCCACAATAGTTCGAGTGGGGCCAGTGCTGAATTCCTGGTGGCAGTGCCCAGAGCTCATGAGCACCGAGGGTGTGGTGGGTGCTCTGCTTGCACCACGTCTGACTTTTCGCCAGAAGTCCTTTGCAGGGCTGGGTGTCTCTTCATCAGCCTTCCAGCTCTGGCTGGGAGGACTGTTCTTGGGTCTGCAGCCTGCTGAGCTGGGGCTGCAGCTTTCTCCAGTGCTGGGTTATGTCTTGTTCTCCAGAGCCCAGCCTGTTGTTACAGATCCATGGCTTCTTGTTCCACTGACTGGTCTGAGGGTGCCAGGTACTTTTCCTGGATTCCCAGGGTGCTGAGAGATATGTCAAGGATGATAGCATGGGCAAGGGTAGGAAACTGGTCTGGGCAGGACCTGACCTCTACTGATGCCCGCCTTCCAACCATGTCTGGCAGAGTACTTCCATCCTTCTCCCTTCCTCATAATTATAGCTTCAGGCAACAGGGACCAATTGGGTCTGAGAAGCCTATCAAAGCAACAAGACTCAAATGCTCCTCTTCCCCGCATTGCTGAGGATCAAAAGACCAGAATGCTAACCCTTCAACTCTGTTCTTATGACACACGCTCAGCGCCAGGCCATGGGGATTTAAATCCTGATTTTGCTGTGTCCTTTTTCTCATCTGTAAAACAAGAGTTGTTATGAGGATCAAATGAGACAATGAATAGAGTGCTTAGCATGGCACCTGGCAGACAGTAGGTGCTTAAGAAATGTTTGTGACTTCTCTTCTGCCAAAGGAGAGAACACAAGTGAGCACAAAGAAAACAAAAAATTTCTGCTTGGGCTATAGGGTGCCTTCTACCTCTCTGGGACAGCAGTAAGGACACAAATCAGATTCACAAAGACAAAGACCATGACACTGCTGATGGAACCCTGTGAGACTGGCTGGCCTGAGGTCGGGGTCTGGGGTCTGAGTGGGAGATAGGGGTTGACCATGTTGGCCACCATGGCTGCTCTACTAGATGACTCCAGTGTCAGGAACTGAGATTCTACAACCAGGGACACCGAGATTTGAACGGTTCTTCTAACACAAGCTGAGTGAGGGACATTGGGGTCATCACTCTCAGAGCTCCAACTGCTTCATCTATAAAAGGGGATTGAATAAAAATTAAATAACATCCTGCAAATGGAGTATGTAGCCCACCAAATGATGTTCAGGTTAGACCTTCTTTACCATCTCATGGATCCATCCATCAAATCCATCTCAACCCGACACAAACTGACTCTGAACCTGTGCGTACTTCCCTTCACTTTTCCTCAGGAGGTAATGCCTTGTTCCTGTGCAAGTCAGTCCTGAGGATCATCTGCTTGACTTGGAATATCAAACCTGTCTTATCTCTGGCCTGAAGCATACATTCCTGAGCAGGGCACATGAACCCTGAGTTCTCCTGCCTACCTCCTGGCACTATCACTGCTCCCCAGCCAGAAGTCCTGTCCTGCCCACAAGTCACCATTCTACTTGCAAACCACCCAAGACATGTCTCAATCTTAAACTCCGATGCCTTTGTATACATTGTTCTCTTTGCCTTGAATTCCCTTTTCCTCTTAATCAACTTGGCTAACCCTCACTCTGAGATGATGCAAATCAAATGTCACTACCACTTTGAAGCTTTCTTCACCAACTCACTCCTCAGCAGAGCTGACTTTCCCATCTTTATACCAATCCTTAATTGCCTAATACAGAGAATAAAGTTGAACCTTAAGAAAATTGGGGTAGTAGAGGAGGGTAGAATCTAAAATCAGCATAAATGTATATGGTGAGAAATACCTTTAAAATTCCTTTGTAAAGTATATGATTATCTAATCACTAGGCTGTACACCTGAAACCAATACAAAATAATATTGAAAGTAAACTGTAACTGAAAAATTAAAAACGAAAACAATTCAGGGAATCAGAACAATAACAAAAAAACCTTAAAATTCCTTAAATCACTTCTTAAATACAGTATACATCAAGTATGTTAAACTTGCGGCCGCATGAGGCTCACAATGAGTATTTTTGCAGCCCAGCCAACATAACGGTATGTAAGAAATGTTTTAATAAAAACTTCATAACTTAATTTTTACAATATCCTGTTATACGTAATTATTAATAACAAACTACAATGACTGATTACTATAATTATGTTGCATTCATTTCCCTTATGTGCCTTAAGTGCAGGCACACCATTTCTATCCACTAATACCAGCAGCGAATATTTTAGCAGCCGATTGCCACGTCATTAATCCTGTACTGACTTGTTTGGTGTGCACAACAGGAAATATTTCGCTTTAGGAGAACAAGGAAAATAGGTTTATTTGCATTACACTTATTAATTTGTGCAGTTATTCAGTGTCTGGAAAGTTAATGTTCAAGAAAAAATATTAATTTTTATTAAAATGTTCTATTATTTTATGTTAATAATTACTCATTTATTTCAGCCCTTTGTATTCAGCATGTCTCTACTGAAATGAACCTATGTTTCTATGAAGATTAAAGCTGCTTTTCTTGTGGCCACATAAACTTAAACCTTGTTTATTTGGCCCGTGTTAGCCTTTTGAGTTTGACATGCTTGGTGTACATGGTTTTATGAGTAGAATGTGACTACATAAAGTCATGTACATTGTGCAAAATATCACAGCTCTATTGAAAGTACCCCTCCTCTTTTTTGCTGAGTACATGCCTGAATTTGCCATTAGCAGCAAGTTGTGTGAGGCAGGTCCTCATCCCTTCTTCAGGTACTTATTGCACACTCTAGTGCCATCATCTGTAACTAGTCTACTTCCCTGTGAACTTTGTTTCCCACGTGTGAAAGGGCCTGACACAGATCAATAAGTGTTGGCTGGAACTATTTCCTCCCTACACAAGGACTCTGGAGTGCACCTCCCCCACCCCTGCCTTGTCTCCAGCAGTGTAAATGCCCAATCTCTGAAACCAGCCTAGAAAGCCTGTCCTACCTCACAGGTAGCCTCTGTGACATGAGAGACACCTACACATGACCTCAGCTCTACCCCCACCGGTCCAGTTTGGAAGGTCTAGCTGCCTCCCAGACAGCTGACTGTCCCAGATCCCCCTCAAGCATGGCACATGTGCTAGCTCCCATCCCTTCCATCTCTGTGACAAACTGACAAACCTTCCTTTCTTTTCTTACCTCAGTGACTAGCACAACCACCCATACCACTATCTAAGCCAGAAACCAGGAGTCTGAATTCTGCTCTACCTCTACCTTGTAACCATCTATCACCTTGATATTTTTCCAATTCACACACTTCTTTCTATTCTCACTACTAATGTTTCATCTCTTTTAGAAACTGTAAACACTCTTTTGCCCCCCATCACATCCCTTAAATGCATTTTCCACACTTGGACGGGCTTTTCAAAAATGTACATTTGTTCATACCAAACTCTGAGCAACACCACTATGCTGGTCCTGCTGCTTGCCTATGAGCCGAAGTCCACATTCCTTAGCAGGGCACTGAAGCACCCCCATCGCCAGCCTGCACCCCCTCCTTTCCCCTTCACACTCAAGACACCGGGGAAACTGAACCCTTTACTTCTCTCAAAACCAATGCCCTTTCATTCCTGAGTCTCTGTATTTTTGCTCCTTCTGATCAGTACCTTCCCTTGTCCTAAGGTACAACCAACCCTGAAGCTGTCTAAGGGGCCAGCCTTTGAACATGAAAGACAGTCACCAGGGAGCCCAATTGGTATAAGTAGCTATTCCTGAGTCCCACACACTACCCCACCCCCCACCCCCATTGGCTGTGGCTGAGGCTAGCGAGCAAGGATACGAGGAGAAATGGAAGTCAGCTCCCATTGCAGCAGACATCATGGCCTCCAGGCTTCGCTGCTCTTGGACCCCGAAGCAGTAGCCATTGGCTTTATCCACAGCCTGCAGGACTCGCTGGACACTCTCCTTGTCCTGGGCAGGGAAGAGAGAAACAGCTCTGAGACTGAAACAGGGGTGTGGAATTGAAGTTGTACCAAACTGCTTGCAGCCCCCAACCCCCACCTCAATCTTGCCTCATGAAGTCTCTGTATATGCAGCTTCATTGGCCTGAAGTAGTTCTACCTGTTCCCAGAGGCCTGGCTACATCCCATTTTTCTGACTACCACCCCACCTAATTTAGAACAGGTAAGCTCCTCTATGCACAACCATAGTCCCCTGGATTTATCCCTATTGTAGCTCTGCTCCTACCATCTTACTAACTACTGCAAGTTATTAACTCATCTGCCTCCCCTACTCGACTGATCTGCAAGGTTGAGGTATTCCCAGTGCCTGGCACAGTACTTGGCTAGCAGTAGGCACTGAATAAATATGCATGTAACCTATTTATTCATCCACAAAAAAGTAATAAGAACAATTCACACATCACATGATAGGGAGGAAAGATCAACATAATGCATTAAAGCCCTGGCCGGTGTTTCTCGTTAGAGAGTCAGCCTTCGCACTGAAGGGTCACAGGTTCGATTGTGGGTCAAGAGCACATACCTGTGTTGCATGTTTGATCCCTGACCCCGGTTAGGGGGTGTGTGGGAGACAAATAATTGATATGTCTCTCTTATACTGATGTTTCTCTCTGTCTCCCCCTCCCTCCCGTACACTCTCTCTAAAAATCAATGGAAAAAATATCCTTGGGTGAGGATTAATAACAACAAGGTATTACAGTTCTTACCACAATGCCTACTTTAGAAAACCTGGCCCTAGCCGGTTTGGCTCAGTGGATAGAGCGTCGGCCTGCAGACCGAATGGTCCCTGGTTTGATTCCGGTCAAGGGCACATGCCCAGGTTGCCGCTTGAACCCCAGTGGGGGGCATGCAGGAGGCAGCTGATCAATTATTCTCTCTCATCACTGATGTTTCTATCTCTCTCTCCCTCTCCCTTTCTCTCTGAAATCAATAAAAATAAAAGAAAAAAAGAAAATTATTTAAAAAAACAAAACTACCCTAGCTGGTTTGGCTCAGTGGATATATCATTGGCCTGTGGACTGAAGGGTCCTGGGTTCGATTCCGGTCAAGGGCATATGCCTGGGTTTCGGGCTCGATCCCAGTGTAGAGTGTGCAGAAGACAGCCAATCAATGATTCTCTCTCATCATTGATGTTTCTCTCCTTTCCTCTCTGAAATCAATAAAAACATATTTAAAAAAAAAAGAAAATCTGCAGTAAGTGGTAGTTAGAATTAATATCATAGATTTAACCTCATTTTTAGAGAAGAGTGTGGCATTAAAAAGGGAAGAGACAAGTTCGCCCAAGTCCACGTACTGCAGAAAGGACTCAAACATGCACGGGAGTCTCCCAGGTTATCTTTGCAGGGTGAAGGTGAGAGGCACAGGGATTGGGTACTACTCTGCAAAGTCAATAAGCAGTTGCTCATCTTGAAGGAGCCTGAGAGACTTATCCCTGACCTTGATCAAGTTCCTTGCTGGTGACTTTCAGGGAACGTGTGGAGAGGACCCAGCAACACAGAATAGATAAGGCCAAACCTCTTTAGTGGAATCCTGTCCATCAGAGCCCCTGGTACCAAAACCAAGGGGACCGAATGATAGCATGACCTAGGACAAAGACCACTGTTTGAGCCCTCAAAGCCTCCTGTACTCTTGGCTTGGAGAGGTCCAAGGCACTGTCAGAGCCTATAGTCAAGGGAATAGGCCTCTTAGTCCATGGTACCTGGATGTTGAGAGGAATGAAGGAGACCAGGCTGTAGTCTTCAATAAGCTGCACCAATTTCTCATTGAGCTGACGATAGTGGCGGAAGAAAGGGTCAGAAGCCAGGTGGTCAAGCAAGTAGGAGAGGTCCAGGACCTCTGTGTAGTAGTCCAGGTTGAAGGCTAAGGAGAGAAACCAGTCAGGAACAGGTGGCATCAGGCTAAAGCCCCAAGGACAGAAACCATTATTTTTTCTTCCTTCCTCTGCCTTCATTCTCTCACTGGCTGGTTCTGTCATTTACTAGCTCTATGGACAGATACCCACCTCATGGGGCTGCTATGAGAATTAAATGCTATGAACCTTGTGCCTGGTACAAAGAAGTGCTTGATCAGTGGCAGCAAATAATGATACCGAACATGTACCAAGTACAGAGCTTGGTGCCGCCCTCATGAAGCTCAGAGTCAGGTAGTACCCCCGGGACCCAGTACACACTGTAAGGACTTTAGCAGGGTGGCATCTGGGTAAATCTCTTTCCCTTTCTGGGCCAGTTCCTTCTTAATGTAAAACGAGCAAACCAAACCAGATGACTCTGGGGTTTCTGACTCAGTTCTATGTCTACAAACTTCCTATTAAGAGAAGTAAAGTGGGCTTGCACTGTCCATTTCAGCCTGGAAAACTCAAGTGGTTGGGCTACTCGGCAGGTAAGCCGAGGAAACAGGCTGTCAGAGATTGATCAACTCACTTGTGTGCTCCAACTTCCATGCTCTAATCAGCTCTAATTAGAAAGTGACACCACTACAAGGAAGAATGTCCTGAGCATTCCAACAAACTTCTTGGGTTGCTTGACAGGTAGGTTTCTCAATGAGAATTAAGAAACTGGAGCCAGGTACACTTGGGTTTAGATTTCACCTCAGCTAACATACTAGCTGTGTGATTCATGTAAGGCCTCAATGGCTTCATCTGATCTGCTTACCAGCCTTTTGTGAGGATGCCTATCAAGAGTCAGAGCTAGGAAGGTTAAAGACCACCATGTAGCTGTTGCCTCCACCTGGTGGAGGCTGTGAAGGGGGTGAGCAGCTTTGGATGACTACAAATTTGCACATAGGTAAAATGGGGCTTCTGGGCTTGCCAAGAGATGGACCAGGACTCTGACCAGGAAGTGCTGACATCCCTCCATGTCCTGCCTTCGCTGGACAAGGCCCTTACAATCACTCTCCCAATGACTTCCCTTACTGCTCACTTCAGCTGTTCTTTGTGGCTAGAGATGCTATTTAGGGAACTGATGCCCCAGCTCAGCAGAGCACTAATATTGCAGGAAAGAAATGCTGGCCATAGGGTCCTTATTCAACTCCCCTGCCTCAGCAGCCTGCTTTCCCCTCAATCTTCTCCACCTTGACAAATAGCACCCTCATTTGTACACTGGCTCAGTCAGAAACCTGAGTGTCATTCTTAATTTCTCTGTCTCCAGGTCCAATGCACAAACAAACCCTACTTCTTTTTTTTAAAATATATTTTATTGATTTCTTACAGAGAGGGAGAGGAATAGAGAGCTAGAAACATCGATCAGCTGCCTCCTGCACACTCCCCACTGGGTATGCGCCCGCAACCAAGGTACATGCCCTTGACCGGAATCGAACCTGGGACCCTTCAGTCCGCAGGCCGATGCTCTGTCCATTGAGCCAAACCGGTTAGGGCCAAATCCTATTTCTTGAGCAAGTTTTGAATCTCATTTTCTCCATTCCCACCACCACTGCTGTTGGGGTCCATCCCCAGCAGGTCCAGGGGTTCCCATAGGTGTGGATGGAGTCGGTGAAGAAGGAAGGACACGGAGGCAGCGTTCAGTTGATCATCATAGGGAGGTTCTCTCTCCAGGATCTCCAGCCAAGTTCTGTCTTTTTTTTCCTGTTCTATTTTTTTACTAACATGACTTTTTATTTTTTTTTAATTTATTTTTTATTTTATTTTTTTAAAAATATATTTTATTGATTTTTTACAGAGAGGAAGGGAGAGGGATAGAGAGTCAGAAACATCGATGAGAGAGAAACACCGATCAGCTGCCTCCCGCACACCCCCCACGGTGGATGCGCCCGCAACCAAGGTACATGCCCCTGACCGGAATTGAACCCAGGACCCTTCAGTCCGCAGGCCGACGCTCCATCCACTGAGCCAAACCAGTTAGGGCTTATTAACATGACTTTTTAAAAACAGGCATCCATACCAGTGCTGGGGCTGAGAGGAGGAGAGGGGCGGGGGGACCGGGCACAAGGAAGGAGTTCTGCTTTATTGGTAATAAAGCTCCAGGTTCATTCCATCATGGATTTCATAGTCGCCCAGAGAAACGTGGTCCTTAAAGATCGTGTACCACTTCTTCCGCACGATCTTGTTCCAACGGGTTATACCAGTTGATTTTAATCCTATCAATTCTATTCCAAAGGTTAGGGCATTTCTTATCTCCATTCCAAGGTTACTCTATTGTTCTATTAAGCTACAAGGGAGTAACTGAAGGAGATCATCCTAAGTAAAGATTATGTAGCTTAAGCGTGATTGTTCGTAGTTAAAGTGATTAATTACCCGCGTGGCACTTAGTTAAGGGGTTTTATTCCCTCCCTAACTCCAGGGAAAAATCCTCACCTGGGAAACAACCTTTCTCGGGGAGGTGGTCCTGTTTAAAACACATAGCGTTAAGAGGGGGAGCAAACATATGCCATATACGCCAGGTCCCTTGAAACATAAGCTATGCAGATGTTTCTTCCCTGCAGCGACTGTGTCAAGCAGCAAGGGTGGACCGGCTTCCGGCACACTGCTTGGGCTGCTACAAAAATACAAAAGGAGCTGTCTTCATTCTTGCCCCTTTCAATTCATTCACAAAGCAGCCAGAACGACCTTTTCAGTTCGTGTTATTCCCTTGCTTAATAATCATCAATGACTTGCCTCTGTGTTTAAATAGTTCAAGTTTTGGCCCCTGCCAAGCTCTCTGTCCTCATTTCCTACCACCCTTCCCCTAAACACTGTCTCAGCTACCCTGACCCCACCTTCCTTGGAAACAAAAAACTCTTTGCTACCTGAGGGCCTTTACTCACTACTAGTCCCTCTGCTTGGAACAGTTCGCCCTTAGCTGGCTCCTCACCATTCAGTTCTCAGCTCAGATAGCACTGCTCACTCCCCACCACTCACTGTCCCATCATTTCGTTTTAATTCCTTCATAATACACATTACCATCTATAGTTTTCTTGTCCCCAAAACCCAGAACAGTAAATGGAACAAAATGAATGGGTAGGGGTCAGCACCTGACTGTGGCTATGATCACCAGGCCATGCATGGTCCCTGGAGGAAACTTCCTTCACCTGAGATCTCTGCTTCACTCCAGCCCAGCCACTGGCCTACACCTTGCCTGGCCCAGACAGGAGCACTTACCCAGCTTCCCATAGTGCTCAATGAGGTCCATCTTGGAGAGGAGGTTGACGTGGGGCAGCTCTACGTGCAGCATGGTGGCCAGGGAGGTACACAGTACTGAAATGAACTTGGCGGGGTCTGTGCAGTAGTGAGAATCTACCAGGTGGACAGCAGTCAGCTGGGAGGGGAGGGAGAGACAGGATGAGAGTGGCCTGAGGAGGCAGGGGACACCAGGGCCTATATCTTCCCCATCAGATTAGGGGTGCCTGAGGACAGAGTGCCAGTCTTCCCCATTAGTCTTTTCCTTCTGTTTCATTCTAATGCGGCACTCATTTCCTTCTCCCAGGAGATATGGGCATTTTTCCTAGAAGATGCCTTGGGCTGAGCCTCCCAGTGGGCAACTGGTTCAATTCCCACTACATCTGACTCCAATCTTTCACTTACTTTTGCCCCCAACTCACAATAACAATCGCCATGCTGTTTTCCACATAACTCCTTCCATACTTCTAATAATCCCAAATTGGGTGCTAACACATCCATTTACAGATGAGAAAACTGAGATTCAGAAAGATAAACTGACTTGCCCAGGATCACACAGTGAGTCAGTGGCAGAGCCAGAATTCGAAATTATACCAGTTATAGTCCAAAGCAACTCTGCCCTTGCCTCGCTGTGTGTGGCATGCCCTCCCTGTCTTAGTTCCTTCATCTGCAAAATGGGCCGGCCCGACCCAAGACGCACCCTGAGGTCCCACTGGGCCATCTGGGAGAAGATGCTGCGCAAGGAGCCATGGTGCGTGCAGAGCTCCACTTGGCCTGGGCAGTCGAAGAGGAAGTAATGGCCGCGGAGGGGGTCAAGCTTGGCGCGCAGCCAGTCCAGATTGGCCTCCAGGTACTCCATGCAGTACAGGAGGCCGCCGTTGGGCCCCAGCCGCAGGGCGTCCATCACGTCGCTCAAACCCACCAGCTCGCTCACGTCCACGGCGCACTCGTACGGCAGCCCCTCGTTGGCCGGGTCCAAGTTCACTACCGCCACGCGCCGGCCCATCGCGCGCAGGAACTCGCTCATGCCCAGGCAGTATGTGGTCTTTCCCGAGCCCGGCGGGCCGATCACAGCCTGTCCAAAGGCCGGCGTCCGAGCGGCCCCCGCCATGGGTGGCACTCGGCCCCGTGCGCAGCAGGAAAGCTCGGCGGGGAAACAAGGCGGGCGACGCGCCAGAGACAAGAGGGCGTCGGGATTCCCGACGCGCTCTTTGGGGGGTGGCGCGGTGGCGGTGCCCCGGAGTTGCCTACGGTGGACCAGCAGGAAGCCGGGCAACGCAGAGCGAACAGCCCGGTACTGAGCGCACCAGCAACTTCCGGAAGACGTCGGAAATGACAGGGTCCCGGAGAGGAAGTCCCGCCCTCACGGTGACGACACAGCTTAGCGCCAAAGGTCGTGGCGGCGCGCAGCATTTCACCAGCAGCGAGGAGATGGTTTGGGGTATGGGGCAAGGAAACTTTTTCGGGATTTACCCAACCTTCCTCTAGGCCCAAATTAGAAGAGAAAGAAATCCGGTCATAAACTTCTTTATTCTACCATTCGATCGCAGATCCGGACCACCTCCCGCGGATTCTCTGCCGTCTAGTCCCAGCCGGTCAGGGGGAGAGGCAGTGGAAGGCCCGCCCCAAGACCGTCTCTTCCGAGCACCACAAATCCTCTTCTCTTCCAGGTCCCTTTCTCATTCTTTCTGACCTTCAAGGTGACACCACCCAAAGAAGGCTGTGTTGATAACCTCAGTCAATCCAGCTTTTCAAGGTACTGGGGGAGGTGACAGGGGCAAGCCCAAACGGACCAGGATTAGGAGATCAACGAAGAGCGGTCATTGAGTCCTAATATCAAAGGGGAGGATAGGGGGCTTTTTTGAAAAAATGCCCCTGAGGTAGAGAGCCAGAAGGCAAGTTCAGAACAAAGCACCCTGAAGGAGCTCGGCAAATTGCTGCTCCCAGACTTCTTCCTGCTTCCGTGGGAGAAAAGGCCAGGGCAGTAATGAGTGATCCTGACGAAGGAAGTCCCTGAACTCGTCACTCAGGCTCTGAGAAGCTGTCAAAGGCAGAGCTGGAACCCCTCACAAAGGTCATATCTGTCCGAAACTTCATGCTGGTGGGTGGCTGGCGTCGGAGCAGCAACTCCCCTTGGTCCTGGGGCAGGGGTTCATCATAGATGGTGGAGATGAGTCCCAAGCCAGTTCTGCGGGGCCTCTTCAGTTGCCCAAATGGCTGTAGCTTCTCTCCGTGGTACCTGGATTAAAAAAGGCTCTCAGTGAGAGGGCTGCTCTCAAACCCCAGTTAAGGGGGTTGGGAAAGGACAGGGAAATAGCTACTGCATATCTGGTTTGTCCCCAAGACAGAGCCTTTAAATCTGGACTTTTGCTTTATCCGTTCATTGACAATGCCAGTAACCAGGAGCCTCAATGCTTTCATTTTAAATAGTGCACAAAGTTTAGAACAACTGTCACCACTCCGTAACTTACAATCACTCCCCAAAGGCAATCATCAAGTCCAAACTCCTCAGACTGGGAGTAATGACCCCACCAGGAGATCCAGACCTATTTTTTCCTTCTAACTCTACTTTAAAGTTCACTCTCTAGGAATCTCAAAGCCACCCCAAAGCCAGAGGAAAGGGGGAACCAGGGTACAGCTGAAAAGCTAGCTTGGACCCACAGGGAAATCCTTGTCATACTCACCCCAGTCCACGCTTACATCTGGGGTGCTGGCCATCATTATCCAGGGCCTCAGGCACCCCTGAGCACTGGCTGCCCAGGCCCTGGCCTTCAGCCCAGCCCTGTCGCTCCATCACCTTCCGCCCAATGCCCTGCGGAGGGAAGGGAAAAGACTCAAGAGAGAGCTCTTATGGAGGGCAGAGGCAGGGAGGAAGAGAAAGAATGGGGTAGAGAAGGAAAAGAGAGATCAACGGATTGGGCATAATCCTCACCTTGGTGTGGCGCTCAAAGGTGCCCACCTGGCATTCAGTCACGGAGCCGTCCTCCTGGCCATCACGGCGTCTCCGTTCCAGGCGCATTTGGACAGAGTCTCGGGCATCCTTGTCTCCACCATCTGAGGAAGCAGAGCCCAGTTTGCAGAAGGAGGGAAATCAGGTGTCTAAGACCTCACAAGATTTACATATTCATCTTTATGATGATTTTATTACCTTGTAATTCTTTCTCATTAGACTGGGAGCTTACCAAGAATAGGAACCATGGTTCTCCAATCTTACAAATGAGAAAATTATGGTGCAGAAAAGTCATAGAGCCAACAGAGACAGATTTAGAGCCCAGGTCTTCCCCTCCTCTCCCTACCCAGGTCATTTTTGACTCCAGAATCAATTCTTCACCAGAGCATGAGCTACCAATGCCCACGATTCCAGGGTCTGCCCACCAGAAGCAAAGTTCCCTGAGGGCTATCCCTACTTGTCCTTGCTTCACAAAGAAAGAAAAAGGCTCTGCCTACAACCAGCACTTAAGGCACTCAACTAGAGATATCTTGAGAGGAACCATCTCAGTGAGCTACCCCAAGGAACTGATGTTCTGTCTTAGCCTTTGCTAAGCAGGTCTGATAAAGTGTCACTGCAAGACCACCAGTTCCACCTCCCAGTAACAAAACCCCTGGCCCAGTACCTCTGTCGTAGTACACGCTCATGTCCACATCCCAGTCATCGGCTGTCTGTTCATCAAAGTCTGCAGGTATAAAAGCATCAAGAAGAGTGAGCTTAAGGACTCTCAGTTCTGTTGAGAGTTAAATCTAGGCTTAGACATATGTTCTAGAACTTGGGGCTTTTGATAGTAGTTTTAAATCTCTCGTCTGGGAGGGTCATTCAGAATTGTGGGAGGGCACTTTCCACTCCACTGATCCCCCCACCCCTAAAAAGGATGACTGGTCTCATATACAGTCAAGGTTAGCTACTTTCCTAGCCTTTTATTGGGCCCACTGTCACTCTTTATGCCCTGCGGAACATAAAGCCCAGAGCAAATGCAACAGGGAACACTCCTGCCCTTGTCTGGTGCCAGCATTACCTCCTTCTTCCTCCTGCCAGAACTGAGCATCTGTGTAGAACACCAGGCCAGAGCCGCCCTTCTCCCACTTGAGCTCGATCTCCTCCTCAAAGAGCCGCTCAGTGGTACGCTCCTGCCTAGTCACATCCTCATGCAGCGCTTCATGCCGTTCCCACTCCTCACAACGGTCATCGTCCTGGAAAAAGGGGAGAGGTGACATGCCTGTTTAGCTTCCTGACCTTATGCCCACAAGGAGGGCAGCTCAAGGTACAGGGGGCCCATGAGATGGGCCCTCAGCATCATTCCTCCAAATCTTTCCAAGATGCAACACATATTAGGCCCTTGAGGTCTTGACCAACACATCTCTCCATCCGTTTCTCAACATGGCTCTTTCCCCTGACAAACCTGATTCACTCTTATTTCTGTTTTCGGTCATACTGTTCCCCCTGCCTGAAATATCTGCTCTTCTCTCTCACCACCTTCTCTATACTTGGTAAAATCCCCCTCATCCCTCAAGTTCTACAGCCTACATGGAGCTGGCCACACTGGCCCACAGCAGTCTCAATGGTCTCTGAACTCAGTTTTAACTGGTACCCCCTGTTTAGGTCTTTATACATGACTAGAGGCTCAGTGCACAACATTCGTGCCCTGGGGGGCGGGTCTCTCAGCCCAGCCTGTGCCCTCTCGCAGTCCGGGACCCCTCAGGGGATGTCCACAGGCCTAAGCTGGTAGTCGGACATCCCCCAAGGGGTCCTTAGCACTGCTGGGGAGGTGGGAGAGGCTCCTGCCACCGCTGCTGCTGCTGCTGCGCTCACCAGCCATGAGCCCAGCTTCTGGCTGCACGGTGCTCCCCCTGTGGGAGCACACTGACCACCAGGGGGCAGCTCCTGGGTTGAGAGTCTGCCCTCTGGTGGTTAGTGCGCATCATAGCGTTTGCATGTTAGCCTTTTATTATATAGGATATCACAAAGAAAGAAGGGACAAGAAGTAATACCTACTGTCTACTGTGTGTAAGGCCCTTCACATAACTTAGCTCCTTTAATCACCCCAACAACCCTGTGACGTAAGTACCACTATCCCCAGTCTACAGATGAGAAAACTTGGGTTCATAGGAGTAAAGTGATTTGCCCAAAATACACCAAGAGAGTGGCAGAGCCAGTATTCAAACCCAGCTCACCACACCATACAGCCTTTTCAGATGCTGCCTCTCTCTTTTCAGGGAGATTTAAGGCTTTTTGAAGGCAGGAAATGGTCTTAGACTATCTTTGGAATCTTATGATAGTCACTATGTTTACAATTGCTTGACTGGACTTATGGAATGATAAAATAACTCATGGTTTGAAATCTTGGGAGCCCCTGTCTGGGTTAAATTTCAAGAGACCTCAGGAATCATTGCTGCAGAACAGGTGCTGGAGAAAAGTCAAGACAGTACCCCACAAGGATGTGGTCCAGATGTGTTAGCAACTCTGCTTGGAGCTTTAGGGACATGGGTGAGTTATTATTTTTTAAACTGATTTCAGAGAGGAACCGGAAAGAGGGATAGAAACATTAATGATGAGAGAGAATCATCAATCGGCTG